TGAAGAAATAATGTATTCTCTTTCACTGTCACTTATAAATGGGTGTTTCATGGGCTCATCGTAAACCAGAGAAAACCAGAAAATAGAGTAGATGCAGCCAATGCCTCCTAGGGAAAAGAGGACCAAGTTAATGCTTTCAGATTTGTGTCTTATTTGATATGACTCTGCCCCAAGTTGACATGGTCCCACCCCCTCTTGTAAAAGCCACCAAGCACAGAACTCTATCCATTTCTTAATGAGCCAATATTGCCCTTTAATTTTTTCATTTTACCCCAACTCACTCAGCTTTCCAACTCACATCATTATTCTCCACTTATCTAATTCTCTAAGTTTGTGTCTAGGAGCACCTCCAAATTGGCAGATTTTTATTATCAAACAACTTGTTAAGTATCACAGGTGGCAACAGAAATTAGAGTAATGTCTTCTTTACTATGTGTATTCTTCACATGGACCTGGGAAGCTCAGCATAGGTAGTTCTGAGGACTGTTGCCAGGTTTAGAAACATTTAAGAAATGACCTGTAGGAAATATCAGTCTAAGTCTTTTTAATTGCTTAGAGTCACACTTTTTTATTGGAATTTATTGCATGTGGTAGATCTTGGGCTTTTAGACTTAAGGAAGTGAGGTTTATTTTCACCCAAATGTTGAGCCCCTGGTGTAGCCTCAGCTTGTAATGCTTGGTAAAGCTAAGAGGCAGTAAGAAAATAGTGACTTGTTATTTTTACTCTTTATAACAACCATATTTGCTCAGAAAAAGCACAGATCACTCTGGGGTACTGGCTTCAGAGCGGTCCATAAGTTATCTTTTTACGTGAGAACAAAAAGATGTCACAGTTTATTCTTTCTACTTTGAAATGTGTGTTTCTTGATGATTGCTAAATTTACAAGGCAAACAAATTCAAAACATGTCTGTTGTTAAATCTGTGGACTTGAACCTTAACCAGAAGATCCGTGGTCCCTTCTTTAGAATCTCAAACAGAGGTTTGTTGAAGGCAGCTCATCCCCTGAGTGTTCTCAGGATAATCTTGGAGTGATTTGCATGGAGCAGAAGCCACTGATACAGATGTTGGCATTTCCATTGATCACCTTACAAGATTCTTGACTATTGCTTAGAATTCCCTTCACTAGTGACACTTTTTTAAACAGGCTGTGTTAAGAAGATCTATTTAGTTGAAGCAACATGGAGCACCAGTGATCTCTCCATGAGAGAATTTCTTTACAGTTGGATAAACTAGACCTGGTTCAAAGGCTATCAGCATCATTTCCATGTTGATGAAATCTAACATTGCCTTATCTGACTGCCATCTATTGGGATTCTACCTCTCTCTCTGCCTTGCAATTCCAAACCTTGTTCTTCATCTATGCCCTGACCCTCCTTGGCTCACCAGCTCTTTCCCAGCCCATCACCCTTACACTACACTCTCCTCCCTTGCCCATCTTGAAATGATTGTGAACCACTTCAATGACATACTTCTCTTGAGTCCCTTGCTCCCTTATCATATTGCTGACCTTGCCCTACAAAGCCTTAGTCTTTGGTCACTTCAACCATATTCTGCTTATACTCTTATACGTACCAATGACTGAAGATGGGGGTAAAAAAATCAAGGAACTATGCTGATGGGTTGCACTACAAATGTATATATTTCATAGCATCAATAAATTTATGTTATATGACCTCAGCTGGGACTTCCTTATGACAATTCAATTCTTTTACTTTCCTCTATTCAATTCACTATCCTACTTACCACAGTAACTCTTTCATCCCTCCTCAAACCCATGACTCTCTGACTTCCCATCTTCTCATCTGAGAACCTTGCCTGATATTTTACTTAAAAATTGAGGCCATTCACTGAGAGCTCTCTCTTCTCTCCACTTCATCTCATATAACCCAGATGCCTTCTGCCACTATCTCCTTCTTTATCCCTGTTTCACACGAGTAGCTGTTCTCTTTGCCAAGGCAAACCATTCTACATGCATTATGATCCCATTCCATCCTGTCCTCTCTAGCATACTGTCTCCCTATCATGACTACTCTCTCATTTATCTTAAATCTCTCCCTGTCTACTGTCTGCTTCCTTACTATCCACAAACATGTCCATGTCTCTCCATCCACACTCAAGAAGACTGTCTACATTAGATGCATCAGCTGCTTTTCCTGTCACTCTCTTCTTAATTCTCTACAATCTGGCTTCTGAATTCATCATTCAACTGCAACTGCTCTCTCTAAAGTTACTAATAATCTCTTTTTTTTTTTGCTTTTCATTGCTGAGGCAATTGGGGTTAAGTGACTTGCCCAGGGTCACACAGCTAGTGTCAAGTATGTGAGGCTGGGTTGACCTCAGGTCCTCCAGAGTCCAAGGCCGGAGCTCTATCCATTGTTTCACCTAGCCGCCCTAATAATTTCTTAATGGACAAGTCGAATGACCTTTTGAGCAAGTACATAGTACAGTGGATAATGCACTGGGCTCGGAATTAGAAAAACTCATCTTTGTGAATTCCAATCCAGCCTCAGAAACTTACTAGCTATGTGATCCTGGGCAAGTCACTTAACCCTGTTTAACTCAGTTCTTCATCTATAAAATGAGCTGAAGAAGGAAATGGCAAACCACTCCAGTATCTTTACTGAGAAAATCCCAAAATGGGGTCACAAAGAGTCAGACATGACTGAAATGACCTTCTTACAATATTCATCCTTCGTGACCTTTGACCTTGACAATGGTGATCACCCTCTTTTCTTTGATTTTATTTTCTTCACAGCTTTTGGTGACACTGCTTTCTTCTGTTTCTCCTCTGACCTATCTGAACACTCCTTTTCAGTCTCCATTGCTAGATCTTCATCCAGGTCACCCCTTTTATCACTGGCCCCTATTCTTTTCTCCCTTTATACTATTTCACTTGGTGGTCTCATTAGCTTCCATGGATGCAATTATCATCTCTAGGCTAATGACTCTGAAATCTACTGATCTAGTCTTGACCTCTCTGCTCTCTTTCACTCTTGCATTGGTAACTGCCTATTGGACATTTTGAACTGGGTGTCCTCCAGACATTTTAAATTTAACATATCCAAAATGGAGCTCATCATATTTTTCCCCAAACCTTCCTTTCTTCCTAACTTCTCTATCACTGGGGAGAGTCCCACCATTTTTCCAGTCCCCCAGCCTCAAGACCTAGTGTCATCCTTGACTCTTCACTCTGTCTTACCTTCTACATCCAATTTGTTACCACATCCTGTCAATTTTACCTTTATTACATCTCTCCTGATGCTCCTGTTTTTCATGAGAATGAACCCCCAAGCCTGAAATTGTTTTAGAGAGAATTTTAATAGGTTGTTTGGCAAAGCAGAGAGCTAGAAGAAGGTGTGGATCCTTTATGAGTCTCTATAAGGTTTATGTTTTATAGGGTTCAGACAAAAGTATCAGCATAGGAACCGCTAATATTCAGCTATGCAATTTTGCAGGGAGGACAGTTCCCAAGCAAACTCCATTGAGATGTATATCAATAAATATAAACATCTAAATTTGGGGAACCGAAAAGGCAAGAATTGGGTTGACCCCAAATAAGATCTGGGTGGTAGCTAAGCATTTCCTGAAGCCATCCAGCTTTCCTGGAGTGTCTCTGAGTTCACTCTGACCTGTAGGGTAACTTTTGGGCTAGACAATTTCTAGCCCCCTAAAGTTAGGTCCAAACAATATAATAATTAATGTTTTCTGAACAACATAATAAATAGTTCCCTACACCCCCTTCTCTTCAAACACAGCCACCAGTCTGATGTAAGCCGTTATCCTCTCACACCTAGATTTCCAATGGCCTCCTGGTTGCTCATCTCCTCATAAGTCTTTTCCTACTCCAGCCCAGCTACCACTCAGCTGTCAAATTGATCTTCCTAAAATGAAGTCTGACTATACCATTCCCCTTCTCAATGAACTCGAGTAGTTCCACATTTCCATGTTCAAATATAAAATCTTCTGTATGGTTTTTAATGTCCTTCATATCCTGGTCCTCCCCTGCTTTTCTAGTCTTTTTTCATCTTGTATCACCTCATCCCTTCCCTGTGCCCACCCCACCCCACATCCTCTGTGATCTGAAGGTACTGGCTCCTTTGCTATTCCTCACACAAAACACTCCATCTTCCTACCCTGGGCATTTGCATTGGTTGTCCCACATGCTTTGAATACTTTCCCTCTGTCTCTTCTTTTTGTGGTTGTTCAGTCATTTTTCAGTTGTGTCCAACTGTTTGTGACTCCATTTTGGGTTTTCTTGGCAAAGATGCTGAAGCAGTTTGGTATTTCCTTCTCCAGCTCATTTTACAGATGAGGAAACTGAGGCACATAGGGTGAAGTGAGTTGCCCAGGGTCACACAGCTAGTAACTGCCTGAGGCCAGATGTGAACTCAGGAAGATGAATCTTCCTGACTTCAGGCCTAGCAGTCTAGCAGCTGTACCATATAGTTGCTTCAGCCTTGTAGCACTAGCAAAAATTCCACCTTCTACAAGAAAGGTTTTAAATCCCTCTTAATTCAAGTGCTTTCCCCCGAGATTATTTCTAATTTATCCTATCAATAGTTTGCTTTTACATAGTTGTTTATGTCTCCTCATTAGACTGTGAGTGCTTTGACAGCAAGGATTATTTTTTACCTTTCTTTATATTCCAAGCATTTAGCACAGAGCCTGGCATATAGTGGGTGCTTAATAAATATTAGTTGCTTGATTGACTGAATGCATGTTTGCAAAATAGGCAAGTCAGGAATGTTTTTAACTTTTTTTTAATATTGTTTTTAGAACCAGCTGGGCTCTAGTAGCCAGAGCGCTGGACAAAGAATGAAGGGATCCTAGTTATATCGATTCACCCGCTAACTTACTATGTGACCTTGAAAACATTATTTCAACTTTCTCTAATTTTCCTCATTGGATTAGACTTTTGAGTAAAATTCCTTCTTGTCCCTTCTAAACTTAATTACTTATGAACTTTTAATGTGAGATCTACATGGATATCATAAGGGATACAGATTTCCAGGAGTAAAATCCGGAAAAATGGAAACAGTTGGATTTGAGATGAAGTCACTTACCAAATATGTAGAAGATACTTGGCCAACCTGGGGACTCACAGAGGAAACCACCCACAATGACCACGATGAAATTTCCCATTGTTGTACCTGAGTTGAAGATACAGAGTAAGTTCAGGATCAGAGCATTAGAAGTTAAATTTTCTGGGGCTTTCTTTAGACTATTAGAGTTATGGAGAGTGAGAATAACTCACATTTTCAATCTGCACAAAATTTAAGATTAAATAAGAAAGGGGGACCCAAAGTACTGTGTCTCTAGCACTCTAATTTTGTGCATGAATTGGACCAGATGACCATGGATGTGCTCTCTAGCTCTTAATTTCTGTGATTCCATTTTCTTTACGTTCCTACCTTAAAGAATTCTTTTTCTGATTACACCAACAAGGAAGTGGGAAAGATAAAGAGGGATAGAAATGTAATACAGCTGCTATAATTGAGTCTTTACCAGATAAACCAATGGTACTTAGTTGCGAACGTTCCAGTGGTGGAGCCCACTTTGGCCAAAATGCAGTTAGAGCACTATAGTTCATCCCCTGAAATCAAGATGATAAGACATTTTGAACTGTGAGTGAAATTGAGGCATGATGTGTCTTATTCATCTACTTTGAAGGCAAGCTGGTACCTGAGCCAGGCCTTGCACTATTCTTATGAGAAACAAGTAAGGCAGTCCGTAGTCTGCTGCTAATGGTATCAAGAGGCTGAGAACTGAGATGACAAGCAATGATAATCCAGCTATTTTCTTTCCTCCAAGAACTCCAGAGAAATATCCACCTGGGATTATTGTGATACATGAGCCATAGAGCATAGAACCGAGGAGGAGACCCTGGATTTCTGGGTTCCAGTCATATACTGGTACCTGCAAGACAGGGAAATGACTTTTGTAAAGTTAATTTATTTTGATTTATCAACAATCACTTCCATAAACTTTTGAGTTTTAAGTTTTTCTCCCCCTCCCTCTGTACCTCCATCCCCACGACAGTACACAATCTGCTATAGGCTATACATATACATTGCTATTAAACAGATTTTCACATTAGTGATGTTGCAGGTAAGAATTAGGACCAATTGGAGGAATCACCAGAAAGAGGAAACAAAACACAACAGAATAAAAAAAAATAGCAAATAGTATGCTTTGATCTGCATTCAAACACCACAGTTCTTTCTTTGGATGTGGATAGCAGTTTAATTAACTCTGCTCTCTGCTTCAGTTTTATGGGAGAGTTCATTCCATTCACACTCACAATTATGGTTGATTACTGTCTCTGTCTTTCTCTCCATTCTTTCCCCCCCTCCGTTTATGCTTTTCTTTCTCCTTTCTCCTTTTCCCTGCTCACTGGTGTTTTGCTTTTGACCACCACCTCCCTCAATCCTGCCTCCCTTCTATTAGCTCCCTCCCTTTTCTTCCCCTTTACCCTCACTACTTCTTCCCTCCTTCTATTCCACCTCCCTTTTCTGGGAAATGACTTTTTAAAATGATCACCTTGTAGGAAAGTCAACAGGTTAGCTAGCATCTGAGAGTATAGTTCTGTAACTGTTGTGTGTGTATGTCTGTGTGTGTGTGTGTGTGTGTGTGTGTGAGATATCCCAGGATCATAGATTGAGAATTCAAAGGAATCTCAAGGATCATCAAGTCCAACTTTCATTTTATAGATGAAGAAACTGAGGCTGAGAAGGGTTAAGTAGTTTGCCCAAGGTCACACAACTTGGATCCTTCCCCAAGCACAGTGCCTGGCACATCTGTAGCACTTATAGGTGAGCCTTTTGCCTTATTTTGCCAGGAACCAGGTCTCGATGAATGTAGATGAAAGTAGACATATTCTACTGGAGATATCCAGTAGAAATCTTTATCTCAACATGTCCAAAACCAAACACTATTTTACCCTCCCCACCCTCTCTATTATTGTAGAAGGCAACACCATCCTCCTAGTCCCTTGCGCTTCTGGACTCCTCACTCCCATGTCCAAGCTGTTACCAAGGCCCATCAATTTCACTTTTGAAGTATCTCTAACACAGTCCCCCTTTTCTCCCTCTGACACTGCCCTCACACTGGTGTAGACTTGTCATTAATGTAATTGTTCCATTGTGTCTGACTCTTTGTGACCCCATTTGGGGTTTTCTTGGCAAAGATACTGGAGTGGTTTGCCATTTCATTCTTCAGTTCATTTTAGAGATGGGGAAACTGAGGCAGATAGGGTTAAGTGACCTGCCCAGGGTCACACAGCTAGTAAGTATCTGAGGCCAGATTTGAATTCAGGAAAATGAGTCTTTCTGACTCGGGGCCCAGTACTCTCCCCCGTGTATCACCTAGCTGCCCACAGACCCTCATCACCTCACACAATAGCTGCTGGTGGATCTGCCTAGAAGTCTCTCCCCACTCCAATCCATTCTCCATTCAGCTATCAAAGTGATTTCCCTAAATCTCAGTCTAAGTCATGTCACTCCTCTACTCAATGAACTTTAGTAGCTCTGTATTGCATCGAGGATCAAATACCAAATGCTCTGTTTGGCATTCAAAGCCCTTCATAACTTAACTGGCTCCTACCCTGCCAGCCTTCTTATACCTTACTCCTTGACAAGTACTCTTTGATCCAGTGACACTGGCCTCCTGGCTCTTCTACAAAGAAGACCCTCCATCTCTTGACTCTGGGCATTCACTCCCATTCCTGGAATACATGGCATCCTCAAGTCAACCTACTGATTTCCCTGGCTTCCTTTGGTTGAGAATGAACAATAATTCTCAAAAAGGATCAAAGTGACATCACTATGTTCAGGTTAAGGTACGGTATGTCTGACTACAGCCAATGAATTCAATATGAGCTGTGAGGGCTCTACCATAGGTTGGGCACAGATAATTCACATTTGGAGTGGAGATGTCTCTAAATGTGTGCATCTCATGTTTCTTTTGAGCTATTGCAATTCTGTTTTGCTCATAGAGCACAGCACTTTCTTTGATGCAGGGATGCCCTGCTGGGGGGACCTGTGCTAGTGTCCTCCAAATCTCACCATCAATTCCAAAGTTCTTCAAAGACCTTTAAAATGTCCTTCTATTGTTCTTCTGACCTCCATGTGAGCACTTGTCTTGTGTGAGTTCTTTTAGACAAATGTATGTTTGGCATTGAAACAATGCAGCCAGCCCATCTGAGTTGTGCTTGCTGGAGTAGATTTGAATGCTTGATCGTTCAGTTCAAGAAAGGACCTCCATCGTTTCCTGGAAGCCTTCCTTAACCTCTTTTCACTCCAGTGCCATGCCTCTGTTAATTACTTCCTATTTATCCCCTACATAGCTTGCTTTGTAGATTTTTTTTGGATGTTGTTGTTGTCTCCCCATTAGATTGTAAGCCCCTTGAGAACATGGAATGTCTTTTGCCTTTTTTTTTTAACACACCTAGGACTTAGCATGTAATGGGTGCTTAATTAATGGTTATTGACCAATTGAACTGTAAACTCTGGATTTTGGCTGTAATGTATTAGGGAGTTTTCTTTTGGGATCTTTTAGGAGGTGACTAGTGAATTCCTTCAACTTCGACTTTTAACTCATGTTCTTAGAGATCTGGGCAGTTTTCTTTTATGACTTCATGAAATAGATATATCTAGACTCTTTTTGGGTTTTCATGGTAGTCTAGTAGTTCTTAAATTATGTTCCTTTTCCCATTCACTTATCTTTGTTATGAAATGCATCATTCCCCCCCCCCCCCCATTTTTCCATGTTTTGACTTTGTTTTAAAATTTTTGGTTGTCTGATGGAGTGATTATTTCTTGTTTGGTTCATTTTAATTTGAAGGTGTTTGTTTCTTTGTGCCTTTTTGTGTGTGTTTTACAGATTAAGAATTTGAATCAGAGGTTAAGTGACTTGCCCAGGATGACACAGCCAGTATGTGTCTGAGGCCAGCTTAATCTCAGGTCTTCCTGACTGCAATCCCAGGGCTCTATCCACTATGCCACCTACCTACTTTTTTTATGTGCAAAGAAGAGCATAAGAGAAGATGCAAAATATACAGCAATAAATTTCCATTTCAAGAAAACCTATATAATAAATAGTACGCATTGTGCTGAGAGCTGTCCATCTTTTCTTCACTTCCTTGTAAGTTTTCTTTTGTTTTCTTCTGTGTACTTCTTACTTTGTTCTTTTCCCCCCCTTCCTCCCCCTAGAAGGCTACAATTAAGCACAGATACGTGTGTGTGTCTGTGTATGTACATATACATATATGTGTATATATATGCACACATATTCACATACATTCATATATACACACATACACAAATCTATATATATATAAACATATGTATATACACTTACATTCACATACGTATACTTAGATATCTACAATCATACTCATATGTAAACATATACATGCGTATACATCTATGTAAGACTGTATTATACTTGTTTGTTCTTTGTTTCTCTAAGAGTGGATAACATCTTCCTTCATAAGTCCAAGTCTTTCCATACTTTTTGAAGTCCACCAACTCATTGTTTCCTGTACTATATCAATATTCCAACCTTATGCTGTCTAGTTATTTTAAATAGCCTAAAACAATATTGATTAGAATGGCATAGTTTCCGTATTTTTCTCTTTTGATTAAATCTATTTTAGTTTTAACTTTGTCTGAGATCATGATTACTATCCCTTCTTTTTTTCCCTAAAAATTCTACTCCTGATGTTCATTTTATATTTATGTGTTTCTTTTATTTCCTATCCTTCCTGAATCTTCTACTTTACTTCTACCCACTGGCTTGACCTCCTATTACTTAACCTACCTCCCTACAAAGATCCTTTCCTTATTCTCTCCCCTACCCTAAAATCCCTCCCTTGTCTTTTTCCCCTCCCTATCCTCTTAACCTCTTATTTCTTTCTGAATTGAGAGGACTTTTATGACCTTCTAGATATATATGTATCATTCCCCATTTAACCCATTCCCAATGAGAGTAGGGTTCCAGAACTTCCAGACCTCCTCCCCCACCTAATTCTTCTGTATCATTTCTTCATCTCACACCTCATTTGTAATTATACTTCTTATCTTTTCCTAGATGGTTTACTTTTTAGTATCACTTCATACTCAGCTCTACCCCATTTCTTCTGAGCTACCCAACTAATAACAATCTTAGACATCTGATTTACATTTGCTCATACAAAAAATAAACAGTCTTTTCTTATTGAGTCCCTTGGAATTAGTCTTTGATATTTACTTTATATTTCTCTTGGATCTTGTATGTCAAATTTTCTATTGAGATCAGGTCTTTTTGCAACAAAATCCTGAAAGTCTGGCAATTCATTGAATGCCCCCCCTTTTTCATTCAAGATTATGCTTGACTTTTCTGGATATTCTATTTTCGGCCTCAACCCCAGTTGTTTTGGTGTTCTATATATATGTAGTGTTCCAAGATCTGTGGTCTTTTAATATAGCCACTGCTAGGTCTTATGTGATTCTAATTGTGGCTCTGCCATATTTGAGTGTTTTTTTTTCTTGTTGCTCATAATATTTTCTCCTTGAGATGGGAGTCTCAGAATCTAGCTATGACATTCCTATAGATTTTCCTCATAAGATCTCCTTCAGATGGTGATTGGTCGATTTTTCCTATTTCTACTTTCCCCTCTTGTTCTAACACTTCAGAACAATTTTCTTTAATATTTCTTTAAGAAATATCTTATATTCTTGTATCAAGATTCTTTTTCTGATTGCAGCTTTCAGGTAGTCTGATTATTGTTATGTTTTCTCTTCTTGATCTTTTCTCCAAATCAGTTGTTTTTTCTTTTGAGATGTTTCACTTTCTCTTCTATTTTGTCATTCTTTATATTTTGTTTCATTATTTCTTGGTCTCATACCTTCCCTGGCTCTCCCTTTGCCCAATTCCAATTTTCAAGGAATTATTTTCTTCCTTAAGATTCTGGATCTCCTTTTCCAGTTGGTTGACTTTCTTTTCACAATCTTGTTTTTTCTTGTATTGTTCTTATTTTAAAATTTTTTC